CACCCATCCGAGCACTGGTCTGAATCCTGGCTAATCTACTTCTGATCCAGTTCCTTGCTCATGCACCTGGGAAGACAGCAGCAGATGGTGCAAAGCACTTGGGCCACTGCCACCTGAGGGAGAGCTGGATGGGCTTAAGCTCTTAGCTATCTGTTTCTCCCTTTCTTTCTGTCCCACTGTCTTTCAAGTATATAACTCTGAAAAGAAAAGAGAAGCTTTGTTTTTCAGGTGCATTTTATATTATTATTATTACTAAAAAATAAATTGTTTGAGAAGCCAAGAGAGAGAAAACTCTCCAGTCTGCTTGGCCACTGTTCAAGTACCCTTAACTGCCAGGGCTAGTCCATACTAAAGTCAGGATCCAGGAACCCAGCCCACGTGTCCCAATTGGATGCCAGGGACCTAGCTGTTTGAGCCATTACCCACTGCCTCTTGGTGTCGACATTAGCAGGAAACTGGAGTCAGCAACCTGAGCTGGTTATCATATACGATTACTGCAATGTGGGACACAGGTATTTTAACTGAATCTTAGCACCTTAAACAACCACCCTTAAAGGTAAAATTTAAAGAGCATTATTTAGTAAATAGAATGAGACAGAAGAGTTTTAGTTATTGAGGAAGTGCTTGGTCAGAATGCTCTCCCCCCATATATATGTATATGTGTATAAATATATGTATTGTGTGTGTATATATATATATATAATACAAATACTATGTGAGGATAGTCATCAAAATGACAGTACATTTTCCACTCTGTTAATTACTGCTCAAATTGCCTTTGATCCCCTTCCTTCATTTAGCTAATATTCCAAAATATGAATGTAAAAGGGAAACAGGTCGAGTAAGTGAGGTAGCCTATTCTATTTGTTTTGTAATTATATTTTTTCCTCAATATTTTTAAGTGGCACTTACCAGTATGGATAAGATTAATTATTATAATACAAACCAATTTGAAAATTCATTTTTAAATTGGGCCATAATATATAAAATCTTATGATAATGTGCATTTCTAAGTATATTTAAGTATACCCATACCAATTGTTTGTAATAATCGGGAATGCATCCTCTGTGTAGTGTTTGTAAGCTAATGCTGTTTTGGAAATCACACTGGTATATCCAGCAACTTTCCTGGGTAAATGTGGTTCATTATTGATTATACTTTTATTTTGGAATTTTAGTTTAAAAGGATAATGAAAACCTTTTGAAATTCTTCATTTTAAAGCATTTTGATTGGAGTGTATGGATGATTAAATAATAGGAGGAAAACTCATAATAATTGATGAAGTATGTTTTGTGAAAATAACACAGATTCCTATATAAAATGAGGAGACATTCATAGGGGGAATGCCTTAAAAACATAAGAAGGAAGCCTGATGCAATAATTGCATAGTGGTTAAAGTCCTCGCCTTGAATGCACCAGTAATCCCATATGCTGGTTCTAATCCCGGCAGCCCTGCTTTCCATCCAGCTCCCTGCTTGTGGCCTGGGAAAGAGTCAAGGACAGCCCAAAGCCTTGGGATCCTGCACCCGCGTGGGAGACCCAGAAGAAACTCCTGGCTCCTGGCTTAGGATTGGCTCAGCTCCAGTTCCAGCTGTTTTGTCTGCTTGGGGAGTGAATTAATGAATGTAAAATCTTCCTCTCTCTTTCCTCCTCTCTGTATGTCTGACTTTGCAATAAAAATAAGTAAATCCTGAAAAAAAAAAAGCTCATAAGAAATACTCAAATGCAAATAAATATGTGTATTTTTATTTCAAAAAAAAAAGAGTCTCAGGCCTAGGACTTGTGGTTGGCTTCTCGACCCAGCTGTGCTGTGCATCGTTTGGGTGGTTTCAGTGTGGCTTTGGGCACTCTGAAGGGAAGGGCAGTAAATGACACCTGTCTTACCATGTGTGCTCTGGTTTCTTCTGAGTTCCTATTTTCTTGCTATCATTTATTTCCATTTCATTGGTCTTTCCCGTTTTCCTTAAATTTTGTTCCTCCTTCTATCCAGTGTACATAGAATTGTAACCATCTGCTTAGTAATCTAAGAGTCTCTTTGCTAATAGTAACGATGAGTTTCTCTTAATGATTTTTAACATAAAGCATTTAAGAATGAGAGAATGTCCTTGGAATGTAAGTTTGACAAGGACAGGGTGTTTTACCTTTTGTGGTCCATTGTTCTATCCCTGGTTTCCAAAACAGTATCTTACAAAATGCTTGTTCAATAAATGACCAAAGCATTAATCTTAAGAAAATGTTCATCACTTATATTTCTGAGTAGAACAGATTCTTAAGGAAATGGAAGCTTTTAATTTTAAAATCATGCTCTCCTGTCTCTTCTCCCTGTTGCCTTTTCTTTTTTCTTTTCTTTTGTTTTGTTTTCTTTCCTTCTCTTTTCTCTTTTCTTTTCTTTTCTTTTCTTTTCTTTTCTTTTCTTTTCTTTTCTTTTCTTTTCTTTTCTTTTCTTTTCTTTTCTTTCAAAAGGAGAGTGGGGGTTGTGGAAGAGAGAGAATCCTCAATCCAAAGTTCCTGGTTAACTCCCCGAATGGCAGTAGTTATCAGTGCTGGGCAAGGCTGGACACCCGCTGTAACTGCAGGGATCCAGGCACTTGGGCTACCTGCTGCTGCTTTCCCGGACATCTTAGTGGAGCTTGCTCAAAAGTGGAGCAACCTGGAATTGAACCAGGATCCATATGGGCTTCCTGCCTTGCAGGCACAGCTTAACCTGCTACGCCACAGTGCTGAACCCTGCCCTTTCCTTCTATGGGAAACCACTGAAAGAGATTGGAATTTGTGTAAATAGTTCAGTGGAGAAAAGAAGGGATGTGGAATTGAGAGGTTAAAATGGAGAAGGAAATAGAGGTGAGGTAAGCATTTGAACAAAGTATGCAGGAGGTTAATCAGCTTGCATGCCAAGACCAGTGGGAACCAAGAAAGCAGGTTGATGCAGGCAGCAGGGAAAGGTCACACTTATGGTGTGCTTGGATTTCATGCAGTGATATATGGAACCATTCTAAAAATTTGATGAGAGTGACATAATAGTGAAGATAATGATTTATTGTTTAGCTGCTGATTGTTTTTTAAGGTGAAAAAAAAATGGAAACAAAAGACAAAGTTAGAAGATTGTGTGGCAGGCAGTTGAGGACAGTTAAGCTGTTTTGTTTACTTTGTGATCCAGTGCTACCTTTCTTGTATACTCTTCAGAAGTTTGTGTCTCTGGATCTAGGGATGGATAGAGGGAGGACAAATTCTGTACTAAGAGTCTGGGACAGAATTTTAGGGGCCTCAATGGCCAACACTAGTCCAGGCTGGAGCAGGAACATGGAGCAGGAATATGGGTCTTCCTGTGAATTCAGGAACCTCAGTTGAGGACCATCATCTGCTCCCTTTCCGGGCACATTAGCAGGACCTGGATCAGAAATAGTATCTGGGATTCAAACTGGTACTCCACTGTAAGATGCCAGCATTGTAGGCAGCAGCTTATCTCACTACACCACAGCTTGGACCCTAGATATATAAGGTTTTTGTTTGTTTTTGCTTTTCTTTAGAAGGTAGTAGCATTCAAGTAGATGAATACAATGATTTTTATAAAGAAACAAGAAAGACAGAAAAAGAATGTTCTGAAAGGTGCAGTAGGTTTTTGTTTTTTGTTTGTTTTTTTTTTTTTTGCTTTGTTTTGTTTTTGTGTAGATTATTTGAAATACATTCAGAAGAGACTCAGAAAGAAAGAAAGAAAAATAAATCATCCATATGTTGGCTCTCTGTCCAAATAGTCACAATATCCAGAGCTGGGCCAGGCCAAAGCCAGAAGGCAAGAGCTTCATAGAGTTTCCCACATAGGTTGTCTGAACTCAAGTATTTGAGCCATTATCTCCTGTTTCCCAAGCACATTAACAGACAGCTGGATTGAAGCTGTAGAAATTCAAACCTGCAATTCAATATGATATGCAGGCGTCTCAAATGGGGGCTTAACCTGCTTACTGTAGCACCTGCCTGGTACCGTGTGTTTTTGTTTTTAAAGATTTATATTTATTGCAAAGTTGGATATACAGAGAGGAGGAGAGACAGAGAGAAAGATCTTCCATCTGATGACTCACTCCCCAAGTGACTGCAATGGCCAGTGCTATGCCGATCCAAAGCCAGGAGCCAGGAACTTCTTCCAGGTCCAGGTCTCCTACACAGGTGCAGGGTCCCAAGGCTTTGGACTGTCCTCGACTGCCTTTCCCAGGCCACACGCAGGGATCTGGATGGGAAGTGGAGCTGCCGGGATTAGAATCTGCGCCCATATGGAATCCTGGTGCATTCAAGGCGAGGACTTTAGCTGCTGGTCCACGCCACCGGGTCTGGTACAGTGTTTCAAATTTCTACTTTTTTTTTTCTTTTAGTTTTTTGGAAACAGTGCATTTTATGTATATTTACATTCACACACATTTTTGGGAAGGCACTAATACTTGTAGCTTTTTGTACTTTTCCACTGCTCCACCCCCACTATCCTGTCTCTCTTGCTATTGTTTTCCCTTCTGGTTTGGGTTGCTTCTTGCCATAACCTCTCTCTTCCCACTGCAACCCATCTGGAAAGATGAAGAGGCAGCTGCTGTAGTAACTATGCATTTTGGTTAATGAATAGCAGACTAACAAGATACATAAAACACATCCAAAGTGTGCAGAGTTAGTTGTCAAAGCTGGAGGGATACAATATGTTTTCTTCTCAAAAATGGTCCTGTGGTGTTTTCTTTTCTGATTTACCATGTCTAATAATGCTCTCTGAATCGCTTCTCAGCCTATTGGCTAAGATCAAGTGTAGTATCTGTTCTTATCAGTTTAATGCTACTATGAAATATTTGTCTTAGTGCTTAATCTGCACATTTTATCCTGTGGTTACATTTACAGCAGATGAATTGAGGTGTGTAAAGAAAGATAATAACAAGTTGGATTAAGAAGTAGATCGCCTTTAGACTCATAGAAGAATAGATACAAAGTTTTATTGTTTTAATCTGTAATCTTTTTTCCTACTGCTTTTTGGCTACCAGTGCTTCTTTTTGAGTTTTCTCTGAGATTAGAACCAGTAAGTAGTACCATTTGTTACAGATGTTTCTATTGCATTGAGGCAAGCCTTGACAATTTCTGTAATCTATGTCATCCTGTCTCATACTGTCCCATCTCATAGTTGTCCTCTCTCTGCAGTGCTCTATGCCCAGGTCTCTGTGGCTGGGCTGCTCCAGCCTGGCGGACAGCATGCCTTCGCTGCGATGCCTGTATAACCCAGGGACTGGCGCACTCACAGCTTTCCAGGTACTTTCTCTGTCTCTGTGGGTTATTTGTGGGCATTAGCATGTATGTCTAATGCATATGTATGTCCCTCCTACCTCCCTTACTTATAGTCATCATCTTACAGTCTTACTTGTATTTCTCCTTTATATTGCGTGTTTCGCATCACTCAGTACTCCCTTATGATTCGTTTTAACGTAGATATGGACTGATTGGTTTTGTCATGATTGGTTTGCCAGAACTGACATAATGCAGCTTGACTTGATTTTTAGGCTTAGTAGAACTATGATAGTCAATTTGTATCTAAGTAAACAGCAATTCAGTATGTAATACCTGTTTTGGACCTACATAAAGCCAGTTAGTGTACTTTTCCAGTTAATTGCAGTCAGTTGCCTGAAATTCACTGAAATGTAAGTGCTTTATTCTGAGTACCTTCTGGTTGTTGTACTACTGTACATATATATTTAAGAAATATTTTTATTTGTATCTTGACTGATGGTTCCAATTTCAAGATGGAAAGGCCTTTAATATTTTTGGGTACCATATTCAGTTTAACACAATCCAGCTGGTCTTGCATAGATTGACATGTTATGGTTCACCTTATCTCTTCTTAGAAACAGAAAATTAGTTAAAAAAACATAGAGAAAATGCAAACTTATAGAAAATTAAATAAAGAAAATATTTGATGCCCATTACTTACAGATTAAGGTGACTTATGATGGTTCTTAGCATATTTGGAAAACCCCTCAGGTATTTGGAATTTGTGCTTGTGTTTAGTGTTTTATAGTAACACACAACAGATTAATCTGTCTGCTTGTAATTCATATTTAGTTGGAGGAAATTCAAAGACAAGCTTAGTGACTTAATGACTAAGTCTTGGTTAAAAGGAAGGAGTTTAAGTATTCTACATTTCTCATTTGTGCTAAATGGTGGTTAGTCTCTTATACTATTTTAGCAAATGATAATGCTAGAGAGTTCTACTTTTCTTTTAAAACAATGTATTTATTTGATTTGTACTATGAGATACAATCAGAATAAAATGTGTTGCCTTGAAAACTGGTTAAGTCAAGTCTTAAAGTCTGTCTTTGTGGTATGATCTTGAACAAGCATTGAATTTGCAGTATCTGAGAGAACAGCCCTTCATCATTGCCCTTAACTTTAGATAACCCTTGTAAGTTTAGAGGCTTCACCAGACACTCTGAAAACTGAAAGCAGTTATAGTTAATTTATTATAGAAAGGATACAGGTTATTCCTGCCCACCCATGAATGTGCGCTTGCACACACAGGAAAAGAAAGGAAGGATACAAGTTAAAATTATCCATAATAAGTAACACTTAGAGTAGAATACTGGAGAGGTTCAAATATAGGAATTTCCTGTCATCCTTTCCCCATGGACTTATGATCGGTGTTATTGCCTCCGAATCGTAGTGTGTGACAGTATACACAAGGTGTTGCCTGTCTTGAAAGTACCCAAGCATTTGTGTCCAGAGTTTTTACTGGGGCTCATCACATTACTGCTCACAAGGCTGCAGCCCTCCCATAGGTCGCACTAATGCCTTATGTCCTTGTTGTTTCCTTGTGGCATTAAAACTGAGAAAGTGTGGCACAAAGCCCTCAGAGTGCTAAAACCTCCATGCAACTGATATTCCTACCAGGATCTGGACATGATGTGCAAGACTCCTGTGAAAATCTTAGTGAAAATGATTGAGTTTCTAAAAATGTATTGCTGATTTTTTTTACACTGTTATTACACTTTTTTTACACTGTTATTCTGCTGTGAAATAAAAGGAAATATTAAATCACATGATTCCAAAGGTATAGTTCTGAAACTGATGAATTCTGTGAATAAAATTGGCCAGGAACTACAAGAATTATATAGAGGGACTTTGCCTAACCTGAGAGAGGAGGAAAGGATGAGAGAATTAATGAGACAAAGAGAAGGGTGGAGACAGTTGTAATGGCATGGAAGCTTTAGGCAGAACCAGCGTAAAGGTATCCAGAACAGGTGGGGCTCAGTACATTGAAGGACCCTGCTGCGAAGAAGAATAATGAGAAAGGAGACTGAAATAAGAAAGATCATGTAACTTTGTTACTCAGATTCTCCTTGTGAATCACAAGGTGATCACCTTGTGAGCCTTGGTCCCAAGATTATCAAGCCAGATAGATTTGGATTTCTCTGACTATGCGAAGAGATGGCTGGACGCATTATTCTGGCTCTAAGAAGGCTAATTTCAGTAATGGAAGCTAGAAATGATGGCAGTTCACTTTTGGCCTCCTTGCCCCTTTGCACTTTTGAAAAGTATAAGGATGCCAAAGCACTTCTGTTTATGTGGATTATATATCTATTTATGTTTAACTATATTTTAATTCAAAATGAGAAGAAAATTAAATATTAATTCACTAAAGACAGCTATAATAAACCTATGGCATATTAATGTGAATAACATTTTATGAATAAGTATATTTTCAAAGAAATTAAGACTGGCATTGTATTACATTTTTATAAATCTTCTTAATGTCTGGTTTAATACAAGACAGCTGGATTTGCATATCTTTTGTGTTCAATGTGTTGCACTGTGTTTTGGTTAGCATACATGAAGGATATCTGGCATTACATGAATATGTAGTTTTAAAAGGGGGATGTTTTGGGCCCAGCGCGGTGGCACAAGTGGTTAAAGGTCCTCACCTTGCACGCCCGGGATCCCATGTGGGCGCCGGTTCTAATCCCGGCAACCCCGCTTCCCTTCCAGCTCCCTGCCTGTGGCCTGGGAAAGCAGTCGAGGACGGCCCAAAGCTTTGGGACCCTGCACCCATATGGGAGACCCGGAAGAGGCTCCTGGCTTCGGATCGGCATAGTATCGGCCCGTTGCACTCACTTGGGGAGTGAATCATCGGATGGAAGATCTTCCTCTCTGTCTCTCCTCTCTGTATATCCGCCTTTCCAATGAAAAAATAATAAAAATAAATCTTTAAAAAAAAAAAGGGGGGGATGTTTTAATATGCCTTTCAGGAACTGTAATTACTTAAAGATTATTGGCTTCGGCTGCTAATTGACCTCCACAGTGGCCTATGTTGAGGTGTCTGTATTGACACTGAATGTAGGGCCCGGTAGTGTAGTGGTTAAGGCCTTCTTGAATGCACCAGGATCCCATATAGGTGCTTGTTCTAGTCCCAGCAGCTCCACTTCCCATCCAGCTCCCTGCTCGTGGCCTGGGAAAGGCAGTCGAGGATGGCCCAAAGCCTTAGGACCCTGCATCTGCGTGGGAGACACCAAAAGAAGTTCCTAGCTCCTGGCTTCTGATTGGCGCAGCTCTGGCCGTTGCAGTCACTTGGGGAGTGAATCATCAGATGGAAGATCTTCGTCTCTGTTTCTCCTCCTCTCTGTGCATCTGCCTTTCCAATAAAAATAAATAAATTTTTAAAAAAAGAAGCTGAATGCATAATGATGGCTGGAACTATATTAGATCAATGTACAGATAGTCACAAATGATTCAAAAAGTTGAAATCTGACTTGTACACCAAGTCAAATTATCATTTGGACTCAAAGCAATTAATTTGAAAGAGCTAGAGAAAGGAGTGGGAAGAGAGATCATCTGTCTGCTGGTTCACTACCCAGATGGCCACAGTATCTAGGATTGGGCAAGGAGGAAGCCATGGTCGTGCATGAGGGTGGCAGGGATCCAAGGACTTGGGTCCTCTTCCACTTCTTTTCCTCATCTGTTAGCAGGAAGCTGGATCGGAAGTAGAGCAGCCTAGGCTTGAACCAGTGCCTATGTAGGATACTGAGATTGCAAGGCGCCTGCAAAGTTTTTATTGCAAAGTTAGATATACATAGAGAAGGAGAGACAGAGAGGAAGATATTCTGTCTGCTGATTCACTCCCCAAGTGACCACAACAGCCAGTGCTGCACCGATCCAAAGCCAGGAGCCAGGAACCTCTTCCGGATCTGCCATGCAGGTGCAGGGTCCCAAGACTTTGGACTGTCCTCGACTGCTTTCCCAGGTCGCAAGCCGGGAGCTGGGTGGGAAGTGGAGCTGCTGGGATTAGAACCGGCGCGCATATGGGATCCCGGTGTGTCCGTTAAGGGTGAGGACTTTGGCAGTTAGGCACACCTCCAGGCCCCTGGCCTTTTCCAATAGATAAATAAAGCTTGAAAAAAAATCTTTATAAAAACAGAAGGAAAGAATTTGAACAAATTCATCATTGCCATCAAGGTTGTCTGTCTAATCTTAAAAGACATACACAAAGAGGTACTGCATCCTCTCATAAATTACTATTTTTTTAGAATCTATTTGGGGAAAGGTTCATTAAGGAATTATGCTTGAAAAATCCATGGGTGTATGGTCTTTGAAATCTGTTCCAGTAGTGAAGCAGGAATGATGAAACACCTGATGGAAGGAGCCAGAGAACTGTATCTGATGTAGTAAACAAGAGTGTGGACCCTGGGTCCAGACTGCCTGTGATTGGCATCTGGATTTTTTTTTTTAAAGCTTTATTTTATTTTTATCGGAAAGCAGATATACAGAGAGGAGGAGAGACAGAGAGGAAGATCTCCATCCGTTTATCACCCCTCAAATGTCCGCAACAGCTGTAGCTGAACCAACCCGAAGCCAGGAGCCTTCCCCAGGTTTCCCACATGGATGCAGGGTCCCAAGGCTTTGGGCCGTTCTTGACTGCTTTCCCAGGCCAAAGGTAGTGTGCTAGACAGGAAGTGGGACCACCGGAATTAGACTTGGCACCCTTATGGGATCCCAGCACATGTAAGGTGAGGATTATAATCACTAGGCTACCATGCTGGGCCCTGGCATCTGGCTTTGTTACTTTCTTGGTATGACTTATTTATTTATAAGCACGTGAGCTATCTATACCTTAATTTGCTTTCCTTTACAATGGGGATGCTTTTAGAGTTAAGAGTTAAGTGAGCTGATTTGTAGTAAGATGTTAGAATGGTGTTTGGCAGACTAATGAGTTTCATACTATTATGAAACTGTACAGAGGGACTAGGTTAAAAGGCTTTCTTCAA